AGGTCATATTCCACTGCTTTCCCAGGCCACAGCAGAGAGCTGGATCAGAAGTGGAGCAGCCGGGTCTCTAACTGGTGCCCATATGGGATGCTGGCACTGCAGGCCAAGGCATCAACCTGCTGTGCCACAGTGCTAGCCCCATAATTAACACTCTTATGTATGACATCAGTGACCACCTGAGGCTCTTTACATGAGCTGCCAAGGCTATGGAAGCCTTTTGAGTCCACAAACTCCATCAGTATTTAAACAAGGCCATAAGCAAAGTGGAAATTATCTCCTCCTTTTAGAGGAAAGTTCCTCCTTTTTTTTTTTTTTTTTTTTTTTTTTTGACAGGCAGAGTTAGACAGAGAAAGGTCTTCCTTTCCATTGGTTCACCCCCCAAATGGCTGCTACGGCCGGCATGCTGCACTGATCCGAAGCCCGGAGCCAGGTGCTTCCTCCTGGTCTCCCATGTGGGTGCAGGGCCCAAGCACTTGGGCCATCCTCCACTGCCTTCCCGGACCACAGCAGAGAGCTGAACTGGAAGAGGAGCAACCAGAACAGAATCCGGCACCCCAACTGGGACTAGAACCCCGGGGTGCCAGCGCCTCAGGCAGAGGATTAGCCAAGTGAGCCGCAGCACTGGCCAAGTTCTTCCTTCTTTGATGGCCCCTCCTTTCCGCTGGGTCTCACTCACAGAGATACTTCATATAGAGCATTTTTTTGTGACAGTGTCTTGGCTTTCCATGCCTGAAATGCTCTCATGGGCTTTTTAGCCAGACCAGGAAGCCTTTAAGGCTGATTCTGAGTTCAGAGTGTTACTTAAAGCAGTTGTTGCAGCCTTAGTCTTTTTCGCAGTCCCGGCACACAGGCCTCCCGCAATCACAAGCACCCGGCCCTGTTAGTTCTCCCCGCCAGAATCAGGAGTCTCCACTTGGCTGGTTGCTGGGCTCGGACAGGAGCTGGTGCAGCTATTGCACATGTCCAAAATGGTGCCTGCTGTATTGGCTTGTTATAGGATACTGCTGTAAAGTGATTGGAGAGAGAGAAACGTGTCCCCCTTTTTTTTTTCTCCTCCCTTTAGTTTGGCACGTACGCTATCCCCCATGGGGCTCCAAGACGGGTTCCCTCTAGGCTCTTCCTGCAGCTTTATCCCCAGTGGCTTGGGCTGCTGTGGTCTGGTCTCATCTCACTTTCCAACACTGGTGCATAGGTTCTGGGCTACTGGAGTCCTGAGTTGTGGATGTCCACACCCTCCATTTATTTATCTATTTATTTATTTTGACAGGCAGAGTGGACAGTGAGAGAGAGAGACAGAGAGAAAGGTCTTCCTTTGCCGTTGGTTCACCCTCCAATGGCTGCTGCAGCTGGCGCGCTACGGCCAGCGCACCACGCTGATCTGAAGCCAGGAGCCAGGTGCTTCTCCTGGTCTCCCATGCAGGTGCAGGGCCCAAGAACTTGGGCCATCCTTAACTGCCCTCCTGGGCCACAGATGAGAGCTGGCCTGGAAGAGGGGCAGCCGGGACAGAATCCGGTGCCGCAGGTGGAGGATTAGCCTATTGAGCTGTGGCACCAGCCAACCACACCCTCCATTTAGGTCTACTGTGTCCCCCTAATTTGCATAGAGGTTCCTCTGCCTTTCTCCCTAACTCTTCCCTGAGGCTGCACTCTCTCCACTGTTTTTAAACTGTCTTCTAGACTAGAGCAGTAATCTTCCTCCCTACTGCACCATCTTGTAACTCTCAGCTTTTGTTTTATAAAACTGGGTGTCCTGGCTTTTGGTGTATATATATTTATTATAATCACATGCTTTTGTTGAACTGATCCCTTAATCATTACATAATGACCTTATCTCTTTTAAATTTTTGTTTTAAAGTCTGTTTTGTTTGAGTATAACTACTCCTGCTTGCTTTTGATTTCCATTTGCATGGGATTTCTTTTTCCATCCTTTCCCTTTGTCTATCTATATTGGTGAAGTGTGTTTCTTGTAGGTTGCATATAGATGAGTCTTGCTTTTTCATCCATTCAGCCAGTCTGTGTCTTTTAGTTGGATAATTTAGGCCATTTACATTCAATGTTATTATTGATAACTAATCACTTAGTCTTGCCAGTTTTCCATGAATATTCCTAGTGTTTGCTTTGAATCTTTTTTGTTCTTTTTCTAGGTTCCCTGCATTCACATTCTTTCATGATGTTGAATATCTTTCTCTGTTTCTGTGTGTATCATTTGTAAGCCAGGCTGGGTAGTGACAAATTCTTTGAATTTTTGTTTATCTTAGAAGGTTTTTATTTCATCTTCATTTATAAATGAGAGTTTAGCTGGGTAAAGTATTCTGGGTTGGCAGTTTTTTTTCTTTTAATACTTGGGAGTATATCTGTCCATTCTCTCCTGGTCTGTAGGGCTCTTATTGAGAAATCTGCTGTTAATATTATGGGAAATCCTTTAAAGGTGATTTTGGATTTCTCTCTTTAATATTTTAGGATATTCTCTTTATGATTTACTTTTGCAAGTTTGTAATGTATAGTGCTAAGGATCTTTTCTGATCATATCTGTTTGTTCTGTGTGCTTCCTGTATTTGGATGTCCATCTTTCTCCATATTGGAGACATTTTCTGATATTATTTCACTGAGTAAGTTTTCTAAACCATTCTCTTTTTTTTTCCATATCTTCAGGAACTCCTGATATTTGTATATGTGGTCCTTTGATGATACTCTGTAATCTCAAATACTGTTTTTTGTCTCATTTTTTTCTTTTGTCTGACTATTTCTAAAGACCTGTCTTGTGGATCAGTCTGCCTTCTGCCTCACAAGTCTGTTGTAAAGGCTTTCCACTGTATTGTTTTATGTGACTTACTGAATATTTCTTTTCTTTTTTTTTTTTTTTTATTTTTTATTTTTATTTTTTTTATTTTTGACAGGCAGAGTGGACAGTGAGAGAGAGAGAGAGAAAGGTCTTCCTTTGCCGTTGGTTCACCCTCCAATGGCCGCCGCTGCAGCTGGCGCACCGCGCTGATCCGATGGCAGGAGCCAGGATCCAGGTGCTTTTCCTGGTCTCCCATGGGGTGCAGGGCCCAAGCACCTGGGCCATCCTCCACTGCACTCCCTGGCCATAGCAGAGAGCTGGCCTGGAAGAGGGGCAACCGGGACAGAATCCGGCGCCCCGACCGGGACTAGAACCCGGTGTGCCGGCGCCGCAAGGTGGAGGATTAGCCTATTGAGCCACGGCGCCGGCCGAATATTTCTTTTCTAATATTTGTCTGATTTTTCTTCACTGTCTCTCTGCAAAATTTCATGTCTGTGTCATGTACAGATTTTCTTATTTCATGTAACTGATTAACCTTACAGTCATTCCTTTGAGTTCCTTTTCAGGCATTTTTGTCAGTCTCCCCTTCTTCACAGTCCAGTATTTTATTTTATTTTTTTGGACAGGCAGAATGGACAGTGAGAGAGAGAGAGAGACAGAGAGAAAGGTCTTCCTTTACCGTTGGTTCACCCTCCAATGGCCGCTGCGGCCGGCGCGCTGTGGCTGGCGCGCTGTGGCTGGCTTACTGTGCTGATCCAAAGCCAGGAGCCAGGTACTTCCTCCTGGTCTCCCATGTGGGTGCAGGGCCCAAGCTCTTGGGCCATCCTTCACTGCACTCCTGGATCATAGCAGAGAGATGGACTGGAAGAGGGGCAACCGGGACAGAATCTGGCACCCTGACCGGGACTAGAACCTGGTATGCCGGTGCTGCAGGTGGAGGATTAGCCTATTGAGCCACAGCGCCGGCCCCACAGTCCAGTATTAATGTAATTCTGTATTCCTTTTGGGGAATTATATTGCCTTCCTTATTCATGTTTTTTGTGTTTCTACATTGACTTTTGTGCATCTGTGGGTTCTCTTGTTACGATCTCCTCTAGAGGATGGGTTTTTATTTGATTGAAAGCTTTATTCCTGGAAATATGCCTCTAGGGGTTGGTGGAATGCCTAAGACATACTTTTGAATTCCAGGGGTATGTGCTGGGTGAGGAAAGGGTGCTCTGGCAGCCCCTTTGTGGGTGGGGCAAGAGTCCAGAGTAACACAGAAGATGCGCATGGTGGAGCACATCTGGCTACAGTCAATGGGGGAAGGGGATGTTGGAGCCCACTAGCTTGTTCACAGTCCCAGTCCTCTGCAAGGGTGAAGCAGCCGATTCACAGGCTAGAATGAATGCACAGTAGCAGCACATCTCACCTACCTAGGCGCACACACCATCCAGAGTACTGGCCCACTCTGCAGTGTGTTCCCCGACCCCTCCACCAGATGCTTCCCCAGTGTGGAAGGATCTCCAAGTCTACAGTCAGGTTGGGTGGGTGTATGGGAATCTAGCTATAAACCGTGATCCTCTCAACTCCATAGACTTTTTCCCAGGACTCTGAAAGTCACAGGGTGCAGGGAATCTGCTCTCTGCCCTGCATGTGGCCCCATCTCTAGCTGTGGTGGCCTCCCTCAACAGTGGGGCTGTCTGCTGTTCAGGATAGAATTCAGCTGCAACTCCATTATAGCAAATTGAATTGGTGCATTGGTGGGGTGAGAGGTGGGAGATAACGTGGCCTCCCTTCATAGGCGAAGTAGTCACCAGACCCCTGCTGGCTCCCCAAGCCAGATTTGAAGTCACTGTGGACCCTGGAGTTCTTCCTCAGAGCCACCAGTGATGGGGACCTTGGCAGCCTCCTCTCACCTTACCCTGGTGAGATGGTATCTCCCAGCCAGGAACTAGCCATATATACGCAGGAGCGGATGGCCCCGTGGCTGATGGTGTTGGTATCTGCCCTCTCTCTTTGCCATCCTGTGGAATTTCTGTTCTGTTCTGTCTATTCTTCACTGAAAATTTCTCTCAGTCAGTCCCCTGGGAATGTGGTTCTTTGTTTTTCTGATATCTTTCTGTGGCTGAGGTCAGTGTAGCTTCTAATTTCTTAGGTCCCCCAAGAAGTAATACTTTTTTATATGCCAAATCAGTTTTTTTGCTGTTTTGATTATCTGCTCTTTGTTTTCTTACAGAACTGTACTGCTGTTAATAAGAATTATTCTTGAATATTGCCAGTGTGTGGATAACATCCCATCTGTTACTACTGACATGCTTACTCGTCTGTCAGATTTATTGAAGGTGTGTATGACTTCACCTTGTTATGGAAATAGTTAGAAGAATTAATTCACTAGGTTATGACTAATCTTTCAACTCTAAGCACTTCAAGGTCGAGTTGTCTTTATGACATTGATTTCATGACATTTGATCGTGGTTGAATCACAACATGTTACTGGAAAAAGGCTGCCTGCTTCCTTCTCACTCCACATTTAGTGATTCCTCATTACACCCATAGAGTTGTTAATGACATTGGAGACAGGAGATGATTTGTTCGTTAGGTGCTGAACATGACTGAGGCCACTTAGGTCAAAAAACCTGGACTGGTTTCAAATGTGCATGGAAGGAATTCACAGAACTTTACAAAATTCATCTCACTAAGGTTAGAGATTTTTCTTACATCGTTCTTTCAGAGCCTTTGACGTAAAATGAAAATGTAGTGATAACTTTATTCAGTCATTTCATATTAACAGATATTTTTAACTGTTAGTATATAGGAAAGGCTTTATTTTTCCAAACTTCTATTCTGTCAAGTCTGTCTTGAACTGGAGGTTTAGTTCATAAAGATTTTTGTTATCTGTTTCAAAAGTGGAACTTTACAATAAGTGTTACCAAACTAGTTTTGCGAATTCAAATTAAAGATTTCTTAAAACTGATCTTTTAGAATTTCTCAACTTTGCTCTTATCAGACAGTAAATATTATCATTTGAACTACCCATCTCCTATTTTATTACTGCATAAATATATCCTAATTACCTCTACTAGAAAATTCATTTGGTCCTTGAATGAGAGGAAAGAGGAATGTAGTTTTAGAATAGTTAACACATTGCTAGCATATAAAGAATGGTTTTTAATAAATTACTGTATTTTTTCTCCTTCCTTTGTTAGTACTTCAATTCAAGAAGTTGCCAGTTAGTTCTTGGAGCTGGTGCACTGCAAGTTGTTGGACTAAAAACAATAACTACAAAAAATTTGGGTATGGTTTCTTGCATTTAATTCACATGCTGAGGTGTTAAAATGATGTCATTGTTATTATGTTTTTATTAAACCTGATGTTTTCATGGCTCTAACTAAAGCCTATACAAAGTGACATGCTACCTCACTCTTTTTGTATTATAAGTGAAAATTTAATCACTGGGAAAATGTCAGGAATTTCTAACGAGTTATTTGGAAATTGTACTATGCTAGAAAATACTAAGATGGAATGTGTAGGAACACTTTATGAAAGGTATTTGAATGTCAGAAGAGATTCAGGTGTCTTGTTAGTGTCCTCACACTGTTAATGTTCACAGCTTCAGTCCATTGGATGTTCGATATATTACTCACTACTAAATGATACTTAATTTGATATGTAATTGAAAATCAACTAATACCCTTTTTCTTGTTTCTCTGTTATACATCCATTCCCTGGATCTTCAGCTCTTTCTTCAAGATGCCTACAGTTAATTGTGCACTACATTCCTGTGATCCGGGCTCATTTTGAAGCTCGACTACCACCTAAGCAAAGTAACATGCTTAGGCATTTTGATCATATCACTAAGGTATTTTTTCATGTATTTTGTATTGGCATTTCATAGATTTAATTCCTTAATTGTTGAGCATTTTTTGGATGTGTCTTAGGGAGTTTAACATCAGTATTATTTCTCATTTACAGGACTATCATGATCACATAGCTGAAATATCAGCTAAGCTTGTAGCGATAATGGATAGCTTATTTGACAAGCTGTTGTCAAAGGTAATGAATTATGGAAATGTTTTTACTTTGCTTAAAGGTATTATGAATTTTAATTTTGTAGCAAATCCTTTATAAATAAGGTAAGGTATGATAACAGATTCTAAATTTACAGAGGATATTTATCAATTGGTATAACTAAAATATTTGTTTTCAGAAAAATGTGACCACCTTCTATGATCAAGGCCACTCATAATAGACTAACCCACAGTTGTATACAAATTAAATTCTTCATGATTTGGAACACAACTTAGTACAGTTTTCACATTTGCCAAATAACTTATCTACTAAAGGGTTTTAGTAGTAGGGATTGTGATTTTGATAATGGAAACCCTGTAGAAGTTTGTGTTACCTGAATTGACAAATGCGTACCTTCTTCAAAACAAAGTTTAGGGGCCGGTGCTGTGGCGTAGTGGGTAAAGCTGCTGCCTGCAGTGCTGGCATCCCATATGGGTGCTGATTCGAGTCCTGGCTGCTCCACTTCCAATCCAGCTCTCTACTATGGCCTGGGAAAGCAGTGGAAGATGGCCTAAGTGCTTGGGCCCCTGCACCCATGTGGGAGACCCGGAAGAAGCTCCTGGCTCCTGGCCTCAGATCGGCCTTGCTTTGGCCTTGCAGCCAACTGGGGAGTGATTCTTCAGATGGAAGACATCTCTGTCTCTCTCTCCCTCTCTGCCTCTCTTTCTCTCTCTGTGTAACTCTAACTTTCAAATAAATAAATAAATCTTTAAAAACAAACAAAGTTTAGCTTGAAAGCCTTCCAATGACAAGGCAAAGATCAAAACAAAAGAAGTAAGTAGAATTTTAAGTAAATTTGTTACATTATTTTCCATGCTGAAAATGCAGAGTCTGAGGTAGTCATAATCAAATTCTATCTTTGTTTCTTTTGTTTTTCATTACCAGCAGATGATTAAATGAAGTGATACTCCCCAAAGAATTTCTAATTATACTGGGAGAGCATCTTCAGAAAAATACATTTATTCACTTCCCATTGCTTTTGCCTTATCCCTGTTTCCTAAGTTCTTCAGTCTGTGTTTTAGGAAGAAAGCAGAAATTTCATAATTTGAAGTTTTTTTTTTTTTTAAATTTACTTATTTATTTGAAAGAGAAAGAGTTTAAGAGGGAGTGAAAGATAAAGAGAGATCATTCATCTACTTGTTCATTGCCCAAATGGCCATAGTGGCTGGAGCTGGGTTAGGAACCCGGAACTCCATTCAGGTTTCCTACATGGGTGCAGGGTCCTAAGCACTTGTGCCATCTTCCATTGTGGGCCAATTTCTACTTTCCAAGGCAGAATAGAAAGATCCAAAGTGGAGCAGCCGGGACTTGAACTGACACTCATATGGGATGCCAGTATTGTAAGGGGTGGCTTAACCCACTGTGCTGCAACCCTGGCCCCAGGAAGGAACTTTGATTTACTTTTTTTTTACTTGCATCTGTTTGAAGATTTATTTGTTTGAAAGGCAGAATTACAGTGAGAAGAGACAGAGACAGAGACAGATAAATCAATCTTCAATATCCTGGTTCACTCCCAAAAAGACTGCAACTGTGGGGGGCTGGGCCAGGGTGAAGCCAGGAGCCAGGGGCCTCCTCAGGGTCTCCCATGTGGGTACAAGGGCCAAGGACTTGGGTCATTTTTTGCTGCTTTCCCAGGTGCATTAGTAGGGAGTTGGATCAGAAGTGGAGCACCCCAGACTTGAATTGCCACTAATATAGGATGCTGGTGTCACAGGTGGTAGCTTAACCTGCCGCACCACAATGCCAGTGCCAACATCCCTTTATAATCTGAAATGTGCAGCAAGCACATAATAATCATAAAATGACAACATAAAGTCATGCTTGTTCATACACATAAACATGTACCTAAATCTTGAAGATGACAGAGGGAAAGGAAGATACTTGTTTTGTTGACATTTCTTACGTTTTGGTCATATAACTCCTTTATATTTTTAACAATATTTGAGAACCCTAAAGAGCTTTTGTTTTTGTCATTTGTACCTCTTTGTAAGTACTGTGTTAGAAATTAAAACCAGGGCCACCATTCTGATGTCGCCGTCCCATATCAGAGCGCTGATTACAGTCTTCAGCTGCTCCACTTCCTATCCAGCTCACTAGTGGGAAAGTAGCAGATTAGGGTTCAAGTGTTTGGGATCCTGCTACCCACATGGAATACCTGGATGAAGTTCCAGGCTTCTGGCTTTTGAGGCGTTTTGAGGAGTCAGCTATCTAAGTTGGAAATTGGAAGATCTCTTTTTCTCTTTGAGATAGATAGATACAGAAGTAGGTAAATAGAAAGAAAAATAAAAGTTTAAAACACAGGAATACACAAACATATTCTGTTAGCTTTAAGAATGATGGCATCATTACAAATCATGTAAAAAGCCCTGTTATTCAGTCATGAGAGAATGAAAATAAAAACAGATAAATCTACATTATTCAGTCATGAGAGAATGAATGTGAAAAAGATAAATATCATGTTAATGTTACTAGCAAAATGGTTTTTACTTCCCTGATTCCTCAAAACTGTCTCTAATTCTCAGACCCCAGACCACACTTTGAAAACCTCTGGTGTAGTTGATAATATATTATTGTATGCTTCACTTTCAAGAAACTTAAGGAATTTATAATTATGTACAAATATATCTTATTAGTTCCTAGTTTTGTATGGTGAAAAACAATTGTTTAGAAACTCTCTGTTCTTCACAGATGTCAGGTACAAGCTACATTCAAAAGAAATTCTATCTATCCTGCCAATTTCCTTTTATACATAAGGCACTCTTCTGCATAACAAAAGTCAGTAACATACCTGTCCTCAAATTTACCATCTAACAAGGGACTTAACTGTAAACAGCTAACATACAGAAAAAATAAACAGGCTGAAGAATATAAGGAAACAGAACTAAAAATGTGCCTAAATAATCTCTCATTTTGGTCATCCATAGAGTTTTTGAGCAAGAGTTGGAACTGTGGCCAGACACTTCTTGTGACAACATATTTTATTTTTTCTGTAAAGAAAAAATTATTTAATGAGCTTCCTGTATATTCAACACCTATGTTTATCAGTTATTAATATTTCATTTTCTTTTGCTAAATTATTTTGTCATAAATTTGAGGCATTGTAGTATTTCATCCATACATATTTAACTATATATATTTTTAAAAACTAAGAACACACTACCATTATCCTGGTTAACAAAATTGACAATAATTCTTCAATGTTTCTAATATTTATTCTCGTATTTGAAATTTACCAGTAGTTGTAATGTGTCTGTAAAAGAGTTTCTTTGGACAAATGCTTCATGGCTTATTCATTTGGTTATTTTATCTCTTATGTATTTTACAAACTAGACTACTTCCCTGTTCCTCCCTCTTTTTTAGTGTCATTGACTTATAGAATGTGGCCAGCCTTTGTCAGTGTAGGGTTCTCACTCCTCTTTTCTCCATTAATGACTTCTCTTGGTACCTTGGCATGTTGCATTCTCCCTGGATTAACAACTCTCTGCACTCCCTGTTCTATTTACTTTCTTTTTTTTTTTTAAAAAAACTTTAATATAAATTTCCAAAGTACAACTTTTGGATTATAGTGGGTTTTTTCCCCCCATAACCTCCCTCCCACCCAAAACCATCCCATCTCTCACTTGCTCACCCATCTCATTCACATCAAGATTCATTTTCCATTATCTTTATATACAGAAGATCAATTTAGTATATACTAAGAAAAGATTTCAACAGTTTACACCCACACAGAAGCACAAAGTATAAAGTAGTGTTTGAGTACTAGTTATACCATTAATTCACATAGTACAACACATTAAGGACAGAGATCCTACATGGGGAGTAAGTGCACAGTGACTCCTGTTGTTGATTTAACAAATTGACATTCTTATTTATGATGTCAGTAATCACCCGAGGCTCTTCTCATGAGCTGCCAAGGCTATGGAAGCCTTTTGAGTTTGCCAACTCCGATCTTATTTAGACAAGGCCATAGTCAGAGTGGAAGTTCTCTCCTCCCTTCAGAGAAAGGTACCTCCTTCTTTGATGACCCGTTCTTTCTGCTGGGATCTCACTCACAGGGATCTTTCATTTAGGGTTTGGTTTGGTTTTGTTTTGTTTTTTGTTTTTTGTTTTTTGTTTTTTTTTGTTTTTTTTTTTTTTTTTTTTTTTGCCTCAGTGTCTTGGCTTTCCATGCCTAAAATACTCTCATGGGCTTTTTAGCCAGATCCAAATGCCTTAAGGGCTGATTCTGAGGCCAGAGTGCTGTTTAGGACATCTGCCATTCTATGAGTCTGCTGTGTATCCTGCTTCCCGTGTTGGATTGTTCTCTCCTTTTTAATTCTGTCAGTCAGTATTAGCAGACACTAGTCTTATTTATGTGATCCCTTTGATACTTAATCCTATCATGATCAATTATTAACTGAAACTGATCACTTTGACTAGTGAGATGGCATTGGTACATGCCACTTTGATGGGATTGAATTGGAATCCCCTGGCACGTTTCTAACTCTACCATTAGGGGTAAGTCCGAGTGAGCATGTGCTGAACTGTACATCTCCTCTCTCTTTTATTCCCACTCTTATATCTAATGGGGATCACTTTTCAGTTGAATTTAAACACCTAAGAATAATTGTGTGTTAATTAAAGAGTTCAACCAATGGTATTAAGTAGAACAAAAAAATGCTAAAAATTATAAAGTAGTAAGTTGTTCCTCAACAGTCAGGACAAGGGCTGATCAAGTCATTGTTTCTCATAGTGTCCCCTTCACGTCTTCAGGTTTCCTTTTAGGTGCTCAGTTAGTTGTCATTGATCAGGGAGAACATATGATATTTGTCCCTTTGGAACTGGCTTATTTCACTCAACATGATGTTTTCTGCATTTTTCAATTTTGTTGCAAATGACTGGATTTCATTTTTTTTACTGCTGTATAATATTCTATAGAGTACATATCCCATAATTTCTTTATCTAGTCTTCTGTTGATGGGCATTTAGGTTGATTCCATGTCTTA